TAGTTTCTAGTTCCTAGTCTCAGTTCCTAGTTCTAGTCTTAGTCTAGTCTCGTTGTGTTTCTTGATTTCCTGGTTTCTGATTCTTGCCCGCGTTTCTTGAATTTACCTTTTGCCTTGCTGTTTCGGACTGTGTTTGCCCCTCGCCTGGACTATTGCTCACATTTACGGATTACCTCTCTTGTCAAGCCCTCTGGATTAAGTTCGCTGTCGTCTGACTCAAGCCCATTTTGGATTGCTCTTTTGTCTTGCCTGTGCCATACCTGTTTGCTGTTGTTCGACCCGGCCTGTGTTTTTTGACCATGTTTATTAATAAAAGCTTGCATATGGATTCGCACGCCTCTCGTCTCGTCTGTCCCGTAAAAGCGGGACGAAAGTAACAAAGTGATTTTCTCAGAGACCTGATTACATTTGCATTCCAAGCTATGACAGCACGTTCAGCACGCAACCCTTGACGGAGTTGCCAAATATCACATGATTTAGTCATCTCTTCCCGCGGTTAGGTCCGGAAAGCAGTTTTCAAGTATGGTAAGTAAATTACTGAAGCTGTACTTTTTTTCTAATTACAAGTTGTGTTTCTTGTTTCATGTGTCACAGTAATGATCAATCTACATGTTATTTATTGCTGTAACACATCCTAAAGTTTGCCTCGTCAGAGTTTTTCAGTAAAAAAGTAAATCGGGTTTAAATGTCAGGAGTTCCTTTCGGGACGGAAGTAACACTTGTTACTTTTGTCCCGCTGCTAATGTGGTGACTTTCTGGGTGTTGCAGCATTTATTAAAACATGTTTATGTCATATTATACCAACAGAATATGCCAAGAGTTAGGGTCAGAAAGACAGACAGGGGTCTGATTCAGCCAGATATTTATGAGAGGGCGTTTCTGGACATATCTGTCAGGAACATCAGTCTCAGGGCAGCTGCTAAGTCGCATGGCATATGTCATGTCACTTTGCTCAGATACTGCAGGAGGAGGGCAGAGGCCAGTAGGGAGAAGACTAGACCACCAGGGTACAGATCACATTCTAAAGTCTTCTCTGTGGACCAAGAAAGGAAACTGCAGGCTTATATTAAGAGGGCAGCTGATATTTATTTTGGCCTGTCTCCTAAGGAGGTCAGTGTAGTACAGCAAAAACACTCAACATGCAGCTCACTCGCACTGCTCTTACTAAAACAATTTTAAATGCTTATCAAAATGTGAGATTTGTGTATTATTTAAATATATTTTTCATTTTTATCTTAATTTAATTTTTATTGGCATTTTTATCCTATCTTTCTAAATTATGTTTCATTTTCCACTGTCTCTGAAGCTGCTGCAACATATAAAAATCCCCAGTGCAGGATCAGTAAAGTCTTATTTTATCTTAATCATGTCATAAACAATCTCCATCTAACCATTTTTTTTTTATGTTTTAGGTGCGCAAATTTGCATACGAATTGGCCGGCAGATATGGCTGCAAATATCCAGATGTATGGGATGCCACCAAGATGGCGGGAAAGGACTGGCTCACCTCCTTCCTTGAACGCAACAATACATTGTCTATTCGCCGACCTCAAGCCACCAGCATGTCCCGTTCCACCAGCTTCAATAAAACAAATGTGACTGCTTTTTATAACAACCTGCAGACAGTTCTTGCCCGCTACCTTTTTGAAGCAAAGGACATTTGGAACGTGGATGAAACAGGTAAATTTTACAATTCATTAAAACTAAAAAGCTAGAGTGATTCAGTGGTTTAAAATACACGAGACAAATTAATTGCTATGTAAAATTTAATAACATATATAAACTATAGACCTTGATATATATACATACTGTAGCCTATACAGATAAATATATACAGATTATAAAACTATGAGGTGAATATGTAATTATATAAAAACACTACACACACACCTAGCTAAAATAAATACATATACAAATAAATAAATTAATTCATTAATTAATAAATACAGATATAGAGATAATAAAACAATAATGAAAATAAATATGTAACCATATACAAACACTAACTATACACACACACATCTAGGTATAAACACCTACAAATGTTCATGAAAGCTTATCAAAGTTTATAATACATTTTCAGGTACCACGACAGTCCAAGTGCCAGATAAAATAATCGCCACCAAGGGGAAGCGCCAGGTCGGTGCAGTGACCTCTGGGGAGAGGGGGACATTGGTCACCACTGCCCTTGCAGTAAATGCACAAGGCAATTGCATTCCCCCGTACTTCATCTTTCCCAGGAAGAAGTTCCAGGACCACTTTGTGAGAAATGGTCCCATTGGCTCTCATGGTTCTGCAAATAGCTCAGGCTGGATGCAGGATACAGACTTTCTGGCCTTTCTCCAGCACTTTGCCAGACACACCCGTGTGACCCTGGAGTCAAAGGTGCTTCTCCTCCTCGACAATCATTGGTCACACCTTTCTGTGGCAGCAATTGACTTTTGTCGGTCAAACGGCATAGTCCTTCTATCGTTCCCACCCCACTGCTCACATCGTCTCCAGCCACTTGACAGGAGTGTCTTTGGTCCACTGAAGCGATATATAAACACGGCAGCAGATCACTGGATGAGAACACACCCTGGAAAATCTTTGACCATCTATGAAGTTCCAAGCCTAGTGGCCACAGCTCTGCCACGAGCAGCGACACCCAGAAACATAACGTCTGGCTTTGTGTGCACTGGCATCTGCCCCTTTAACCCAGATATTTTTGAGGAGCAAGACTTTTCACCTGCCTATGTCACCGACCGCCCTTTTCCTTCACTGGTACCATGTGGTCCCACACCACATTCCAACAAACACCCACTTAGCCAGAGCCTGTTTGAGGGAGGGCTGCTGCCAGAGTATCCTGGTGGTTCAACCAGGGACGCCTGTTTAGAGTCTGCCATCCCTAACCACCCAGCTGTCTGTTCAGGCAAGATAAAATAAGATAGAACTTGGTTAAGCCCGAAGGATTTTAATAAAATAATAACTAAAATAGAATTGTGCACGATATTGATATTATTGTTTGTCTGCTGATTAAGCTGTCCCACTGAAGAAGGGGGAAGATGTCTGCTTGATGTCCCAGGGGGGGCGACAGGTACACTGTTGATCAGTATGATGGTGCATAAATAATTACAAAATATGCTTTTTGGGTGAACTATCCGTTTAAAATGCCAGCGCTTGGCATAGTCTGATATGTTTACGGTAGGTTGACTGTTTTGAGGGACCACCCATCCCCACCCTTCCTATTTAACAGAGACAACATTCACAAGCATCTTTCCGTAAGCCATCCTTTCTTCTCGGTTTGGTGTTCAGCCCTTGTGGTGAAGGCAAGGCTCGCTGTAACCTGATGGAGTGCAAGCTGCAGAGGCTAAAAATAGCAGAGCTGTTCAGTGAGTCAAAACTCTGCAGCAGAGACTCACACAGACTGGTGCATTGACACAGTGAACAGAGAAAGCACAAGAGATTCAAAGAGTGACATGAGATGAGCAAGTGGCAAATTGCAGTTATCCTAATGCACTGTGATCTGATTGTGGGCATTCAAGAGGATTTTATCTTGAACCTCGGAGATACACTATGGTTCATTTCAATAACTTAGATCAGTAAATCTCAAATTTCACTTAAAGTAAAATCTGGGTCCTGAAGCAAAACCAGTGTCCACTACACCATATACTTCAGCCAGGTTTGCTGTAAACAAGCTCACTAGGAGGCATAGAATTTTCCCTTGAATTGTGCTAATCTCTGTATTTGTTTAAGATTATACAGATTGATTTATTCCTGTGGTGTACATTGAGGGCTGTGGAGCGTGTATGTGATAGATGGATAGAAAGATAGACAGACAGACAGACAGACAGACTTCACATTTCATGTTCAGAATAATGTACAATTATATTTAAAGACTGGCATAAGTGTAACAGGGTCCTGTTTTTGTAGCCCTTCAGTTCTTGGGTCTCAGCACTCTTACAGATTCTTCACTCTTGGCATAAATGGTAAGTATGCCAACTGAGACTGTGAGCCACGATTGCTTAAAACTGATTCCTAACCAGCCCACAGTTATCACTAAACCAATGGCACTAAAAAATGGCATTCTAGAGATGAAAGACTTAAACACTTAGTAAGAAGATGAAAGTTTTTAAACACTTTCCAGTTAAGAAATATTACTGCCCAGAATTGACTTACAATACATAATAACGCACTACCGATACTGTCCAAAAGATGGCATGATTTCCTCACAATGTGGCATTATGTCTGCGTTTTCACTATGTACAATAAATGTAGATATATTTCTGAGAGAAAACGTATTGTTATGAAAGAGGTTAAAGTGAGTTTTCTGATTTTCATTAAAGAAACTGTTGTATTTCAAATGATTATCAAAAGGCAGTGATTATTTAGGAAAGATTGCATGTGTCAGTAATTTTGTAGACAGCAACCTGAATAAACCACTGCAAGACAAAATCAAAGCTCTCTTTTTGTATAGCTGTCTGACAGGCCATTAGGACAGCAAATTACAGCAGTCATTATACTTTGTTCCCTTTTGTATCCCTTTTACTTTTAAGAGCATCTGCCAAATGTCTTGAATGCAAAGACCATTATGCTTGGATGCTTCATACCGTACAGGAAATAATTAATCAAATTAATATTAATAATAATAAATAACAGGTGACTACAGCACTGACATTATTATTATAGGAGAGACCAGGCCTAGTTGTCACAATTTTTACTCCAGTGATTATTTATTGTTACAGTATGCCCCATATTATGAAGTAAAATCTGTATTGAACTTTTCAGCAAAATGCAAAAAATCCTGCATAAACACAACTGTTAAATGAAGATTAACGAGTTACATTCTGAGACGATACCTAGTGTTCCAAGTTGCCTCATTATGATCAAATTTTGGGATTTGAATGACATGTTTGTAATCTTTGTTAGTTAAAATAATAGGAATTGTTTCAGTTTGTTTGAGCTATCAATCACACCTGGTTGAAACATGCTATATGTTTGTGTTTTTTCAGTGTGTTCATAATTATTCTTATTTGAGCACACAGCCAATAAGGAAAGCCGAAGCAGATGCAGTCTATCACAGATGGCTCCTTTCATTCAGTTGATATCAATGCCATTGATCTGTCCTCTAACCTCGATCATGTTCATTTGACCATCCAGGTTAAAATTAATTACTAATTAAAAGCATGTATGTAAATTAGTGGTTCAACACCCTAGTATATTAAATCATATAAATCGTTATGCTCCACGAGTTTTTCATTGAAATTGTGACAAAGATGTTTCGTTAAAAATAAATGTTAATAATGATATTATAAATATTAACAACATTATTTTCAGATGACAAGTGCAAACAAAAATACAAATACTAAAAACAAATAGTATAAAAAGATAATGGTGAAGTATAATGGTAAAATATTTTCTCTTATCCCAGTTTAATGTGCAGAGACAATGAAGCAAGCCTTTTTATAGTATTTATCTCTAATATAAATGTTCAAATGTATTTCCTAATTTTTTTTATTTTTAATGTAAATATACAGTATCTACAGTATATTGTCAAAAAATGTATATATATAGCCTTATGGGTTAGCACAGAAATTACATACTTCACCTTAGAAACTGTCATAATTAAATTAACATAAATCCATGAAATGGATGTCATATGAATATGTATACATTCTTTTATTAGGCATTAACACAGAAAAGTCGTGGACATGAACTAAAAGCATCTGGGTCTTTTGCAAGGTCTTGACATCTTCGCAGTATCATCTGTATCCATTCCCTTTTAAAGAACAGTGATTCAATGGATTAGCTTGAACACTATATTTTAAAAAGTAATATAATGCTAGTTATGCTCAGGACTGTGATAGAACTGTACCTACCAGCCTGCATAAAGCAGAAGCAGGGCGTTTGTGGGAGCAGGTCGTGACACTCAAACGTATTCTCTGGAAGGCTGCAGTCAGTTCATCTATGGAGGATGAACGGTGCCCAGTCTTAGCACCCTCAAAGGCGGGAGCCTGCCAGAAAGCAGAGGTCCAAACATGAGCAGGGGTCTGTCCAAAAGCTTGGACCTGACTGGAAGCAGGGGTCTTCCAGAACGTTGGGGTTGGACCGTGAGCAGAGGTCTGCCCAAAAGTGCAGGTCTGACCTCGAGCAGGGGTCTGCTGGAAGGCTCGGGTCTGACCGTAGGTAGGGGGCTTGCAGAAGGTTGGGGTCTGACTGTGAATAGGGCTCTGCCCAAAAGCTAGGGTTTGACCCTGACATTTAGAATATGAAAGTGATGCTGCACCAACTTTTTGAGTCTCATTACTGAAACTCATCTTCTGGAAGGTTGAGATCAGTTCATCAATGAAGGATGATGGGTTTTTAAACCCACAGTGCACAGTTAACCCACCACTCCGAAAAAAAGCAGCAGTTAGGCCAAAGAAAACCTGCCCTGATTGCTGGCTAAAGGCAATCTGACTGAAGTCAGGTAGTCGTTTGAAGATTACACACTGCATTGCACTTTGTTGGGCAAAGCTGCAGCTCTAATTACTGCACTGGGAGATTTTTAAATACATTTACTCAATGGTTATACTCGTACGCAGTACTCAACTCCCTTGTCCGCTCCTTTTTCCTAATCGACACTTTGCAGCATATTAGTAATCTGCATAAGCGAAGATTCTATTTTAGAACGGTCGGTATATTTATTGCTTTTTGCTTCATGTTAAGACGTCATAAGTAAAGCCACTGCCGTATTGGGATTTCCACAAATTCTATTGAATAAGAAATCTTTTTTTTTTTTTTTATAAGTAAACATTAGCCTATCTTAACCAGTCAGGAATTTGTAGGCCTATTTCAAGTTTCCTTGTACATTCTTAAAACGCAAACGTCCTAAGCATGTGAAGGTTTTTTTTAACTTAAAGAGTAAAGTTATTTTTTTATTATTATTTTATTACAATAGCGAACATCAGATCAGCAAATGAACACTTCAACGTGTATTAGGGGAGAACCGGGGCGAAAGTAACGCGGGACGAAAGTATCAAAGCGATTTTCTCAGAGACCTGATTAAATTTTTATTCCAAGCTATGACAGCACGTTCAGCACGCAACCCTTGACGGAGCTGCCAAATATCACGTGATTTCGTCATCGCTTCCCGCGGTTAGGTCCGGAAAGCAGTTTTCAAGTACGGTAAATTACTGAAGCTGTACTTTTTTTCTAATTACAAGTTGTGTTTCTCGTTTCATGTGTCACAGTAATGATCAATCTACATGTTATTTAGTGCTGTAACACATCCTAAAGTTTGCCTCGTCAGAGTTTTTCAGTAAAAAAGTAAATCGGGTTTAAATGTCAGGAGTTCCTTTCGGGACGGAAGTAACACTTGTTACTTTTGTCCCGCTGCTAATGTGGTGACTTTCTGGGTGTTGCAGCATTTATTAAAACATGTTTATGTCATATTATACCAACAGAATATGCCAAGAGTTAGGGTCAGAAAGACAGACAGGGGTCTGATTCAGCCAGATATTTATGAGAGGGCGTTTCTGGACATATCTGTCAGGAACATCAGTCTCAGGGCAGCTGCTAAGTCGCATGGCATATGTCATGTCACTTTGCTCAGATACTGCAGGAGGAGGGCAGAGACCAGTAGGGAGAAGACTAGACCACCAGGGTACAGCTCATATTCTAAAGTCTTCTCTGTGGACCAAGAGAGGAAACTGCAGGCTTATATTAAGAGGGCAGCTGATATTTATTTTGGCCTGTCTCCTAAGGAGGTCAGAATAGTACAGCAAAAACACTCAACATGCAGCTCACTCACACTGCTTTTACTAAAACAATTTAAAATGCTTATCAAAATGTGAGATTTGTGTATTCTTTAAATATATTTTTCATTTTTATTGACATTTTTTTTATTGACATTTTTGTCATATCTTTATAAATTGTTTAATTTTCCACTGTTTCTGAAGCTGCTGCAACATATAAAAATCCTCAGTGCAGGATCAGTAAAGTCTTATTTTATCTTAATCATGTCATAAACAATCTCCATCTAACCATTTTTTTTTTTAATGTTTTAGGTGCGCAAATTTGCATACGAATTGGCCAGCAGATATAACTGCAAATATCCAGATGGATGGAATGCCACCAAGATGGCAGGAAAGGACTGGCTCACCTCCTTCCTTGAACGCAACAATACTATTCGCCGACCTCAAGCCACCAGCATGTCCCGTTCCACCAGCTTCAATAAAACAAATGTGACTGCTTTTTATAACAACCTGCAGACAGTTCTTGCCCGCTACCTTTTTGAAGCAAAGGACATTTGGAACGTGGATGAAACGGGTAAAGTTTACAATTCATTCAAACTAAAAAGCTAGAGTGATTCAGTGGTTTAAAATACACTTGACAAATTCATTGCTATATAAAATGTAATAACATATATAAACTATAGGCCTTGATATACATGCATACTGTAGCCTATACAGATAAATATATACAGATTATAAAACTATGAGGTGAATAAATATGTAATTATATAAAAACACTAAACACACACCTAGCTCAAATAAATACATATACAAATCAATAAATTAATTAATTAATAAATAAATACAGATATAGAGATAATAAAACAATAATGAAAATAAATATGTAACTATGCACGCACACATCTAGGTATAAACACCTACAAATGTTCATGAAAGCTTATCAAAGTTTATAATTAATTTTCAGGTTCCACGACAGTCCAAGTGCCAGATAAAATAGTCGCCACCAAGGGGAAGCACCAGGTCGGTGCAGTGACCTCTGGGGAGAGGGGGACATTGGTCACCATTGCCCTCGCAGTAAATGCACAAGGCAATTGCATTCCCCCATACTTCATATTTCCCAGGAAGAAGTTTCAGGACCACTTTGTGAGAAATGGTCCCATTGGCTCTGCTGGTTCTGCAAATAGCTCAGGCTGGATGCAGGATACAGACTTTCTGGCCTTTCTCCAGCACTTTGCCAGACACACCCGTGTGACCCTGGAGTCGAAGGCGCTTCTCCTCCTCGACAATCATTGGTCACACCTTTCTGTGGCAGCAATTGACTTTTGTCGGTCAAACGGCATAGTCCTTCTATCGTTCCCACCCCACTGCTCACATCGTCTCCAGCCACTTGACAGGAGTGTCTTTGGTCCACTGAAGCGATATATAAACACGGCAGCAGATCACAGGATAAGAACACACCCTGGAAAAACAAGCCTAGTGGCCACAGCTCTGCCACGAGCAGCGACACCCACAAACATAACGTCTGGTTTTGTGTGTACTGGCATCTGCCCCTTTAACCCAGATATTTTTGAGGAGCAAGACTTTTCACCTGCCTATGTCACCGACCGCCCTTTTCCTTCACTGGTACCATGTGGTACAACACCACATTCCAACAAACACCCACTCAGCCAGAGCCTGTTTGAGGGAGGGCTGCTGCCAGCGTATCCTGGTGGTTCAACCAGGGACGCCTGTTTAGAGTCTGCCATCCCTAACCACCCAGCTGTCTGTTCAGGCAAGATAAAATAAGATAGAACTTGGTTAAGCCCGAAGGATTTTAATAAAATAATAACTAAAATAGAATTGTGCACGATATTGATATTATTGTTTGTCTGCTGATTAAGCTGTCCCACTGAAGAAGGGGGAAGATGTCTGCTTGATGTCCCAGGGGGGGCGACAGGTACACTACTCTAGGCCTGAGTTCCAGGACTTCTGTCCAGGCATTCATTCCAGAAGCTGTACGTCCCTTTCCTAAGGCTGGTCCAAGAAAGGACACAAAACGAAGAGGCAAAAGGAGGTGAGTGGCATTTGGTTTTTGCTTTGTCCCGAGTAATTTCTTAATACATGCTGCTACCATGTGGACAGAGGATGAGCAATAATTGGCTGTAAATTTATACAAATGTTGACAACAATTTTTCTCACTTTGAATGTTGCAGGTCAACGGCGATCCTCACGGACTCTCCGGTGAGGGCAGCTCTGGAGGAGGAGCAAAAGAAGAGGATCCAGAAGAAGCCGTCCGCTCCAAAGGTTTGTACTGTTTATCTGTTAATGCCTGTTAACATTAGTCCGGTTTCCATCCAAATGAACCTCTCTTTTCCACCTGACTCTTCCGGCTCATATAGTGTTGTGGCAAGTTTGTTATGTCGGGTTACCTTTGATGAAATTGAAATTTTAAATGAAAATAATTTAATAATTTTTTGCAAAGATAAAGGACAAAATATGTTTGCAGTTACATATTAACAAGGCCATAGTCGGGTATATTTAATAAAAAAATAAGAGTAACACAAAAAATCTAGCTTGAATTGTTTGTGTTACTGTTTACTTCGTGTTACTTTGTTATTGTGTGTTACTTTCGTCCCAACAGACGGGGTCAAAAGTAACAATGTACAACTTATGTTCAAAGTGAAATTATACTGAAGTCGTTTTACATTTGTACAAAATACCATCAGGTATTGATAGAGTTATTGACCACAGCAAAAATATATCTCTGTCTAAAACATTATCTTTTAAAATTTCGTTTTTCTGAAAAGTGGTACTTTCGCCCCTGCTCTCCGCTAATAAAATGATTAAATGATTATAAATGAATGAAGAATAAATGATTATAAAAGAAAGTCGCAAATGTATGGTTGCTCTCTTGAAGCAAAACACACACAGTTTGCATTAGAGGATCCTCCGAGCCTTTACAGTGTAGTGAAGCCTTTCCTCCTTTGACATTCAAAATGACACTGGTCTCCTTCCCTGCATACCGCCAAAGCGACAGTGTTAGCATTAGCCATTATGCTTTTTTGGCTAGGTTGCAGGCTTGCCTTCCAGAAGCTTTGGCTGTCATGTCCCATGCTGTGTTAATGAAGGAAATAAAACAAAAGTCAAATATTCTATTTTTAAGCAGAATTGCTTTTATGAAATTTATGAATTGCTGATGCATTTAGCCATCTAGAAACACATTTTCAACCGTACCCATTAAACACAGTGCATATTTCTCAAAATGCTATGATATCCGTATATTCTTCATGTTACAAAATAAGTCAGTTATAGATATAAGAGTTAAAAAATTTTTATTTGCTAATAAAGGCCAAAAGTAAATGCTATGATAAAATTGTTGATCAATGTTGGATGTAGAGATTAATTATTCTTAATTCTAATTGTTAACGAACTGTGTGGTATCACAAATTATACTTTATACCACAGCACTGAACATTGCTTTAATTAAATTCAAGAACTAAAATGAAATAAGTATGTAAAATGGCTTTCTAAGGCACTTTAATCTTTGCTATAAGTGGTTCTTGCTAGGCTACTCTAATGCTGCGTTCAAGTCCTCCTGGGACGTTCGTAATTACGAGTTGACAAGTCGTAATTACGACGTCAGGTGCGTTCAAGTCAGTTTAGTCGGCACAAGATGGCGGTGTACCTTCTTTTAATAAATTACAAGAAAATACAACAGGGTCTGTTAACTCTGCTTATAGAAAATGAAGAGCAAAGAATTCGCATCAGGTGTGTTTTGCGTTTTTAATATTTTTAAAAAGTAATTTATGAAGCCACTTTAATCTGTATCACATAAAAACTTGTTATTAATTGTTATATTACAAAACATCAATTTAAACAAAAATTTACCGTCAACTACAGACGTTGCATCCATCGATTCCGCCATGTTTCTCATTGACACGCCCCCAACTCGGAAACTCGGGGCTTAAAGAAAATTTCGAGTTTCCCACTCGTAATAACGAGTTTGTGGTGGCGTTCATGTGCGTTCAACTCGTAAATACGATCTATCCGACATGACTTGAACGCACCATAATGCATTATGTATTTTAGTATTAAAATACATAGTATTTAGTAGTTTAGTAGTATTTAAACTCTACCTGATATGGGTACAACTGGAACAAATACATGTGTTGTATTTAAGAACTAATTGTGGAAAATATAAGTTATTTGTATATTTTTAAAAATATTATTATTTTATTAGTAGACAGTTGAAAGAAACAGCACATGATGACAAAAATATTTTGATAACTAGTTTTTGTATGGTAATGTAAAAAGCCATAGTTTTAATTAAAGCCGTAATTTTAAGTACGTCGCTGGAATAATTAAAATCACAATCTGAATACTGCTGTCATAGAGTATGTTTTATATTTTGTGTTTCCTATGTAGTTTGAGCGTGTGAACGGGACTTTTATTTTGGTCTGGCGATATGACGTCATAAAGCCGCGTCGCGCTGCTGCGTCTGTGATTCAGCTGAAGAAAGGTTTATGTGTTTAAGCATTTAAGAGTGTTTAAATCGATGACTTTCCGACAAAATTATAGTTTTAGAAGAACTGTAAAATCAACGTTTCATTATTTAGTGTATTATTGTTATATGTAACATTAATTAACATTTAGTCTGTGTACAAAGCGCATCCAGACGAGTAAGTTAACCAGGAGTTTTGCAGGTTTTATAAAGGTAAATGTAGCCCAAGTCTTTTTTAAAAGACCCCTTTTCCGATTTTATTCCTTAAACTGCTTCCTTAGTTTATTTTTTAAACTAAACTAAAAAACAAATGTATAGACTGAAGGGAACATAAAATGCATGTTTTCTTAATGTAAATGTCTATGGAGCATACAATGAGTTGTATTAGCAACAAACAATTAAACGCATGTATTGAAAATACCACTCTCAACTGATCTCTATTACTACTTAATTAATTAATATAAATTGACATAAGCAAAATGACAAAATAAGTCGTGTTTTCTGTGAAACTTAAAATGAATTATGAATGAATGATGCATTTATATAGCGCTTTATTGTGTATTGTTGTACACCCAAAGCGTTTTACAATCATGATGGGGTCTCACCTCAACTAATTAGTTTGATTAAAACAAGAACAAATATCTGCCAATGGTCTCAGAATCATCAACTTAATTAAAAGGGGAAAACAGGATTTTGTACCCCTTTAACAGATATATGTTCTTGTTTTAAGCATGAACGCACTTAATTTTATTAACTTTATCACATCCCGATTAGCATGTTTAGATGTTCATATTGGAAAACAAAAATGCAGAGGAAGAAGTCATTTTGCAGTGCATGCAACATCTAATGCCATGACTGTGAATTTAAGTCTTTCTGCTGTGGTTTAAGACCTTTTAATGTCTTAAATTGTGGAAAGATGCATTAAGACCTTTATATGGCCTGCAAAACCATGATAAAAGAAAAAATGGTGTGTCTCATTTTGCTCCTTATATCGTGAATTCTAAACACAAATTCAAGTACTAAAGGGTGAAGCAGACATTTTCTGTTCAATGGAGTTAATTGCTTGCCAAAATGATTTTGTTTCCCTTTTTATTATTCCACTCTTGTCTTGCCAGTGCACTGACTACTTGACTAGGGAGCTAAATGAGACACACCAAAATATTTAGTTTGGATTTTTTTTGTAATTTATGTTAATTATTCTCATATTAAACATGACAATGTATTCAAACACACAGAAAACCCCCTGGTGAAGCAACCGAGAGCCACGCGATACACGCACTATTATAAAGATGGAGTTAATTAAGGAGGAGAGTGAAGACATTAGGATTGAAGAAGCATTCAGTGTGAAACAAGAAGATGCTGAGGAACAAATAGGTTGGTTTCCATTCTCAAAGCTTGAACTCATTAAAATGTTGACCTCATTAGAAATTAATTATACTTTGAGTGGCCAAATCAAAGCGATTTTATTTGATGTGGAGCGGTGAACAGACATGTTGAGATCACATGACCAACCAAATACTAAATGCTGCCTTCATGCCCGCCTGGGAAGCTTCTACTTGCAGGTTGGGCATTTATTACAACATTTTAAGCATTCATTATAGAATAAGCCTAAAAAAAATAAATATATATATATATATATATATACATACACATATATACTTCTGAACTGAAATAACCATCAATTTCTATTGCCTAATTATGAAACATATCTAAACAAATTGTTTTGCACAGAGCAAACTGAAATGTGAGTGAACAACTTTATTTTTGTTGTCTATGTTTTTTTTTCTTTGCATCCTCAAAAGTGCTCACTGTATGACTGAAATGAAATCACTGTATCGGCTCGCTGACCACAAGGCTACTGGTGCCAATCACAAAATCATAATTATGTGTGGGAAATTTTGAATTTTCTTTAAGGCCTTAGTTTCTGAGTTGGGGACTAGTCAATCTTAAATTGCATGTACAAAATACCACAGTATTATACAATTACTATAGAATATATAATTCATTTGACAAAATCTTCATGAATTGAATAAAAAGCATAAAAAAGAACATAGAAGCTAATAATATTGAGTCCCTCAAAATTCATAGGGTCAGAACATGGTAACACTATTTTGATGAACCCTTTTGAACATTCTGTTGACAGTAAGTGATGTTGCACCTTCATGTCAACCAACTCTCATTGGAGTGTTAGTAGACTGTCTGCTTAATCTTAACTCTTTATTGTCTGTCTCCCAACAGACATTCTACTGACTATAAGTAACTTTATAATTACATGTTTAGGGCCCTTATGTTTTATTGTTAGCAAATTCTGGGTTTTAGCATGCCTTAATTATTTGAATGCATAAAAATTAGGAATGCACAGGAATGAAAATTCTGTCACGATTATGAATTTGGCTGACGATTAATTGTCTAAGAAATAATTGAGATTGTCGATTAATTGTCTAGTTTAGGGCATTGATGATTATGGCGATTAATTGTCTGTTTTATGGCTTTGACATACATTTTTTATGCACATTGTTCATTAAATTGTTACAAAGGATTGTGATTAATTTTAATTCTTTCTAAGTTGTTACTTTGCACCTTTAAATACTGAAGTAATTATATATATATATATATATATATAATCACGATACAAATAGACACGCATTACATTACGTATTTCATGGCACACTCATTTTATGCGTATTTGGCGCCACCTAGTGTTGTGGGTGTATTATTGACATGTCAAAGTCTAGACCCTGAATATAAGACGACCGCGTTTTTTCAGATGTATTTCCAAGAAAAAAACATCGTCTTATATTCGGGTCAATACGGTATTTTATGCTTTAGTACAGTCAAAAAAATTAATACGGCACCATAAATGTCTAAATGTTTTAATGTCTTTTGCTGTTGGTCAGTAAACTGGGGATAACTTGTATTTTTCTCTTTTCTCCTTAGACCCAATGTCACTAAAGAAGGAGAGTGAAGTACTAAATGAAATGGAAGAGAAATATCAGAATGAGAAACATGGAGAAAAATCTTTTAGTTGCACAAAGACTGAAAAGACTTCCTCACAAAACAGAACTCAAAAGTCAGGAACTAGTTATTTCAACTGCTTTCAGTGCGGAAAGAGTTTCGGTCAGCACGAAAACCTTAAAGCCCACATGAGAATTCACAATGGTGAGAGCCCTTTCAGCTGCCAGCAGTGTGGGAAAAGTTTTACTGAAAATGGAAGCCTTAAAAGGCACATGAGAATCCACACTGGTGAGAAGCCTTTCACCTGCCAAGAATGTGGAAAAAGTTTCACTCAAAAAGGAACCCTGAAAAGGCACATGAGAATCCATACCGGAGAGAAGCCTTACTCCTGCAAACTGTGTGGAAAAAGCTTTAAAGCAGAACTAAATATCAAGTATCACATGAAAATTCACACTGGAGAGAAGCCTTTCATGTGCCATCAGTGTGGAAAAAGTTTTAGACATAATGTAAGCCTCAAGACTCACATGAAAATTCACACTGGTGAAAAGCCTTTCACGTGCCATCAGTGCGGAAAGTGTTTCAGACATAATGTAAGCCTCAACACTCACATGCGAATTCACACTGGAGAGAAGCCGTTCACATGTGATCAGTGTGGAAAGAGTTTCAGATGTAAAGTAACCCTTAATTGCCACATGAAGATTCATTCAAGAGAGAACTGTTTTATATGTCAACAGTGTGGAATGAGTTTTACAGATCTAGAGCGTCTAAACAGCCATGAAATAATTCACTCGGGAGAGAATCCTTTCAAATGTCATCAGTGTGAAAGGATTTTCCAATTCAAAAAATCCCTTAAGGCTCACATGAGAATTCACACCGGAGAGAAGCCTTACACATGCCCTCAGTGTGGAAGGTGCTTTACATATAAAGCAACACTTGATTCCCACATGAGGAGTCACACTGGAGAGAGCCCTTATACCTGCAAGCTCTGTGACAAAAGCTTCTCACACAATGGAAATCTAAAGACTCACATGCGAATTCACACTGGAGAGAAGCCATTTATATGTGTTGAGTGTGGAAAATGTTTCACACGTAAAGAAAGCCTTAATTACCACATGAGGATTCACTCAAGAGAGATCTGCTTTGTGTGTCATCAGTGTGGAAAGAGTTTTCCAGACCAGAAACACCTTAAGAGGCATGTCATAATTCACGCCGGTGAAAACACTTTGATGTGCCATCACTGTGGAAAGAGTTTCACACATAAAGGAAACCTAAAGACTCACATGAGAATTCACACGGGAGAGAAACCTTTCACGTGCCATCAGTGTGGGAAAAGTTTCAGTCATAAAGTGAGCCTCAAGACTCACATGAGAATTCACACTGGAGAGAAACCTTTCATGTGCCATCAGTGTGGAAAGAGTTTCAGACATAATGTGAGCTTTAAGACTCACATGAAAATTCACACTGGAGAGAACCCATTCACATGCCATCACTGTGGAAAGTGTTTCATGTTTAAAGGAAACCTCAAGACTCACATGAGAGTTCATGCTGGAGAGAGGAGTTTTACATGTCAAAGAGACCTCAAACGTCATTCACAAACTCATTCTGTAAATAAATTACAGTGTTCTGCGTGTAACAAGACATTTACAAAAAGGAGCAATTTTCAAAATCACCAGCGCATTCACTCTGGAGAAAGGCAGTTTAATTGTGATCAGTGTAATAAAACATTTCATTCACCATCACACTTGCATATACACTTGAAAAGTCATGCAGATGTGAGACGCTATCAGTGTTCCTTGTGTGGAAAGGGTTTTAAATGGCTTGGCAATTTAAAATGGCACCAGAAAAGACGTATCTGTGTGAAATTAAGGTTACGTTCACAACACAGCTGAATGTTGTCAAGTCTGTTTTTTTGCTCAAATATATATATTTTTGTGAGACTGTTCACATGACATTTCAAATGTGTCTAGTATTAGATAAATGTCTGAATAGGTGATGCTTCTTAAACATTTTGCCATGTCTTTAATGTGCGTCCTTTACGTGATTAATTTGCCTTGAGACTGTTTATTAACTCACGTGGCCACACCTGATCTTTATTTTATTTGTATTTTTTTCTATTGTTTTAATTACCAAGCGGTTGCAGTAGATACCCTCTAATTGCGATTGTATAAAGGAATCCCTCGTTTATTTGATTGTTTAATATCTCAGAATTATAAAAGTACATAAAAATGTCTTGCTGTT